CAAATTGATAAATTATAATAACAATGTTGAGAACATGATGTTATAATCGTATCAAGCATCCTTGAAAGAAAATTTTCTTTTTTTCAGTTGTATAAAAAAAATGTCTCTTGCAGGATTTGAACCTGCTGACTCTCGCTAAAAAGGCGGGTATCATGCTATTAGATCACGGAGACCTATAGGGTATATTTGCAAATCTAGCCCCCAGATGCTTTCTCCAATACAAATGACTTTAGAAACGCTCACACATAGTGGAGCTATGTTTAAGCTACAAAGACTTGTTTTAGGTCACAGCTTGAGATCACGTTAATAATACTCTAATAGGCTTGTTACTTAGCACAACACAATATTATAAACAAATAGATAAATAATATTAACAGTGCTCAAATAGGAAACTGATATTATAATCGTATCAAGAATGCCCTTTATACTTTTTTTTTTTTTTGCATCTGTATCTACACAGGCTATGTACGTCATGTTTGACGTCCACCTCAACACACTTTCTTCGACACGTGTGTCCATATAATTGAGTATATATATATACATTATGTCCAATGTAAGTATGTAATATTTATCAAGCATAGCCTTCAACGAAAAAAAATTCCCTTTTTTTAGTTGTATGAAAAAATATTATAGTACTTTAAGTCTACTCAATTATCATGTCTGTCAAATGGTACTCATTAAGGGTTTGATTACTACGGCTGGACTAGTAGATTAGTAGAGGTCTTTCGTCGGGTTAACATTGGTGGCTGTTGCTGGCCCATCGCACTGCCTCTTCTGGTGTTGGATATCTTGCGGCCTACAGCAAGTTTTTTCGGCTCCAGTTCAATCAGGTCAGGTGTAGTGGTAGGCCTAGTAACTGGCCTAGATAAACACTGTGCCGGTCTGCTTGATAACTGATTTTGGTACATTTCAAACAATATTCGAAAATCGTGGTTGAAATTGTAAGTTTTCGTCTTCTGGCTAGCTATAGTCTGCTTTGGTCGTGGCGTTGGAGTTGAGCTTGTTGAGCTCAATGGACGTTCTTTAGTTTTCCCTCCTGTAGGCCTATCTAGTCTTATTTCTTGTTCATCTATCTCCATTTCTTCCAGCAGAGTTACTAATTCACCCAAGCTACGCTGACGATTCCTAACCTCGTTTAGGACACACCAGGTTTGGGTGGGGTTTAGGCCGTATGAGTTCGTAAATGAATTATTTAAGTTCTGTCGCTGAATTGGTGGTAAATTTACACGTAAAAAACCAGGCTGGTGCAAACCCACGTTATCCACAGAACACAGTTGTCCTTTGAAAGTTTGGAGTAACGAAACACTTTTCTCCTTTAGAGAAGTTTCAAACATTCGCTGGCTGTACTTGGCCCATTCCGCAGCATTCATGTACAATCTGTTATCTCTGGTGTATATTGACGCGTTTCCTTCCTCTAATAATACTTTTGCACACTGGTAATGTCCATTTTTAGTAGCCAGTAGCAACGCAGTGCAACCCTCACCATTGCGTGTGTCCACAGTTAAGCCGTCTCGAATGAGGACACTAACAAGCAGTCGTGTAACCCCAAGATGGCCTTTAAAAGCTGCTAAATTTAAAGGTGTATCACCAGTACGATCGGGAATGTTTTTCTCTATTGTGTCTTCTTGTAACAAACGTGCAGCTATATTTTCCCTCCCAAACAATGCAGCGTAAGAAAGCGCCGATCGCCCAAGTGCGTCTTTACTATTTAAGTCCGCTTTGGCATGTAAGAGTATACGTACAATTTTTAGACCTCTCTGCTCATCATCAGTCATGCACGCAGCCATCAAAGGGGTTCGTCCCGAATGATCACGACCATCAGCGTTGGATCCCATATAGACTAAGAGTCTAACTTGATGTAGCCTGCAATCATCGATTGCACGATGGAGACCATGTCTTCGTGACGTCCTAAGTAAGCTTGCCATCTGAAATTATGTTACAATTTGGTGGCCTATTTTATAGGTTAACGCATCATTGCGATGAAAATTTAGTTTTATTTCCTGTTGTAGTAATAGTGCACCTCTACTTTAGATGGCCAAGATATTAACGTTCACAGGTAGACCCAAGTTGTTTTCAAAACAACGTTACAACTTGACAAAAGAACAAAAGAAATCGTCTACTGTTAGCGCTGCAACTATGTCAACGATCGCCTCATAACAAAGAAGCGCTAGAAGAGTGTAACGAGCATCAGTTAATATTTTATTAACTTGCACAAAACCCGTCTCGAAAATCGAATGACTTAACATTGCCTAGCAACACCACAACCACTGAACAGGGTTATAGGGGTGGGTCATGTCGGATTTTCCGTTGCTGATTGGGGACCACTTCAGAAATGCTACAAACTACACTAAACAAAATACCAGCCCTAACAATATATTGTACTACAGTATTTCAATCTAAGTAACGAAGGTATTTGTTGGATAACAATACTTACACTATAGAATCATATGTTAAGATTGTGATATCATAATGTTTAATCAAGGAAGTGCTATACCTGTACTGTGTCTGATATGTTATCAACGTACGATAAGAGTACATTAATTAAATTATAGTGTAAACATGCTCAATTAAGGGTATGAGTGAAATGGGAAAATATTATTTTAAATTGAGTGGAACTTTCGTAAAACTAAGTTACAAACTACAGGTAGTGGCCTATTAAGTATATTGTAAGAACTGTAACAGTGTATCTCGGTGTGTTTACATCGGTTTCTCTAGTAACGCAGGCCTATACACGATTTTTATGACCCGTAGCACCTAAGTTGATAGCGTGGTGAGGTAAAACGATACAATAACGGTACGGTGTCTCGAAATTTCTTATGGATTTGAAAAAAAATGAGAAGTGCATACGTATGTGACCCAGAGGAGATTCAAGTGAGATCCCATCCCACCCGCGCTCTTTACATTTATAAAAAAATGTTATACCTGTATCAAATTTAAGTTTGAGAATGCCATTTCTGTGTCATAGTCGTATGTTTTATTACCTCTGCAGCCTCGACCATGATGGGGGATTAAGGTGGATACACCCGCCCTATCTGCGAGTCCCTCCTTGAGCCCCATCTGTTTCGATTTTCGGGATCCACCACTGTTACCCAAGATACTGTGTTGAGCAAGTACAATATAATTGGATTGCTTACGGTACTTCTGTAGGCCTAAAGCGTATTTAAGCAGGGAGGCGATGTATTTAAGCAGCCTGTTATCTTTCAGTTATATGACACTAATTATTTTATAATTATGATGATAATAATAATAATAATAATAATAATAATAATTATTATTATTATAAATTAAAATAATAATAATTATTATTATTAGCAGTATAGCAAAAGTATTAAATTATTAGTATTATTATATTCATTATTTATTGATTATTATTTTATCATTTATTTTAGTAATATTATCATTGTTTTTTTCTTTTTCTGTAACATTTTTCACATGTATTTGCAGTTCTGTATTCTTGTTATTGTTTTTTGTAAGCAATAAAATAAATAAATAATAAAATATTATTACTAATTTTATCATGTATTGTATTATTAGTATTATTTTTCTTATTATTATTATTATTAAGAATTTTAAAAAAATTAATTTCAATTACACGTCTATAACCCTACAATCAATTATAAAGATTATAGACACAGTAGTATAATTATAATGACGGAATGAGTTTTTTTTTTATTATTTATAATAATAATAATAATAATAATAATAATAAATTATTATTATTATTATTATTAGCAATAGTGTAGCATTAGTAATAGTAATAGACTAGTATTATTATTTTTATGATATTCAATGTCTTGTTTATTATTTTATCGTTTTATTTTAGTTATATTATCATTATTAATTTTATAATATATATTATTAGTATTATTTTTCTTAATACACGACTTTAAGCTTACAATCAATTATAACCATTATGAGTGTTATTATCATAGAGTGCATAATTACAATGACGGAATGAGTGTAAGTGAAACAACGTCACAGCTCACATTACTGTGGCAAGCCGTTTCATCATATAGGCCTACCTCTGAAGTAGTGTTAATTGCAATTGAATTAGTGTTAAGTGTAAGTAAACTGTAACTGAATTAGTGTTAAGTGTAAGGTATTCAACTTAACATTAATTTCATTCAACTTAACATTAATTGTATTTGATTTAACTGCAATTGAATTGCAGTTAACTTGAATGCATTTTAACTTAACTTCGATTTCAACGTGTTACCATTAACACTAATTCAATTGCAGTAAACTGGAATGCATTTAATGTTAAGTTGAATGCATTTGCTCTTCCACAGCTAATTCAGAGGTATATGATAAAACGGTTTGCCATACAATACAGATAGCAGAGGCTCTGCCTTCTCGGAGTATGCGTAATTATGCATAAAACCTCTAACGATTCTGCGAGCCAATGAAAACGTATGAAAGTTTGTTCATTTACATAAGCAATTCATGGCGTTGTAAATTCACACCACTCCCGGACCCCTACCTCCGTACTTCAAATAATTACTCTGAAGACAACCGTTATGATGCATAGTAATGTATTTAATAATTATATTGTAATTCAAATACAGTAAATCACATAAATTGGTCAAAGATCCATATTAATTCGGTATAATCTTTAAACGGTATCTGGCTAATATATTATAGCCTTAATTCTTACAGTATGGCGATGAGCTTCTGGTGTCTAAATAGAAGCTTTGGTCACTTACTGACGTCTGATCAGCGTAATAGCCCATCGTTGGACATCCTTGCCAACCACAGCTCGAACATTTTCCAGAGACATATGTATCATAGCTATTACACGGGTAAGATTTAAATGTACAGCTTGCTCCCTGCTCCATGCTTTCAAGGAAATATTGGTGCGATCTGCCGTGGCTGCAAGACACTTCATCGATATTAGCTAAAAAGGTAATATAATGCAAGGAATGTGAAAACATGATAGACTTTGACTATTTAACCGGACACTCACTGCGCAAGGCGGTCGTCGGCCGACATGATTTCATAGAGACCACAACGCCACGACGCGCGCGCAACGGATCGTTTTTAATAACGATCCGCTCAATCAGCAGACGACGTCGCGTCGTCTAATGCTCAAATGGAGCGGAGTTGGATTCATCTAGCGACGGTCGTAGGGAGCAATGTGTGCCCGGCTTAATAACCTCACACTTTGTAGGCCTATGGACATTTTCAATTTGAAGTCATTATCACGTATTGTTATTATATGTGATCTAAGTAGAATTATATTTCTAGTTTAATGTGAACTAGGTAACGTTATAGAGTTTTATTTGTAATTGTCACAATTTCGTGTAGGCCTACGCCAAGTACCTACTTGCATCGAATTTTGTTGCAGGGCATCCGGGTTGGTCCGTGCCTCCATTAGGATAAAAATCCATGTCGCCAACCTGATTAAAGGGAAAACATTTTTAATACAATCATTGTCGTCATCATCATAATCTTTAAGCCCCGTCATCGTCATCATCATAATCATCATCATAATCAACATTGCCATGATAATCATCATTATCATTACCATTCTCATCAGCATCACCATCATCATCACCTTGTGATCGTCATGTTGTTTGTGGTCGTCATGTTGTTGCTGTTTCTAATATTCAAAATCCTCAAACGTAAAGTATTTCAACGTTTGAATTTGCAGCAGAGCCAGAGTACTAACCTATTACATAAAATGTCCTCTTAAACAACAATAGATAAACATAAGATTATTTTTAAAATAAAACAGAGAAATAATATGGAATATAGGTTCACTGATCTCTCAGATAAGATAGTATAATACATACTAGTATAATACATACTCCAAATATCGAATGCACGCCATCGTGTCGGGATTCAATATTTCACTGTACTGTATTAGGTATTTTTTTTTCTTTTTATTAGAAATGAAAACACAAAAATATCACCATTCGTAAGCACTTACTGCCTCAAACAGACCAAATCCTAAAGTCGATCCATCTGTGTGTATATTATCAACAAGAACCGCGTCTGTCGGGTCCAGTCGACAATGGGCGGCAATGTTGTCACCACGAAATTCAGGACCAGCGGGGTCAAGGCCTGAAAATTAATTATTTGATTTAGAGAGGACTACTTAATCTTAGCATGCATCGCAAATGTTTGTGCAAGCCCCACACCTATTCTATTAATAGCCGACAGTGGTCATTAAAACTACAGATGTATGTGATATGAAATTAATGTGTATGTATACAGCATGTATAGGCCTATATGTGTATATATGTATATATATCAATGTATGTATATATATATGTATATAATTATGTATATATATATGTATATATAGGCCTATATATATC